GCCAGTCTCAGTGAGGACCAGGACCAGGACCAGGCCGCCAGTCTCAGTGAGGACCAGGACCAGGCCGCCAGTCTCAGTGCTCCTCCGTAGCGTAGAGACGATGACCTTACATTTGGAAGCCCAGACAGCAGAGGGCGACGACGAGCAGGAGGGCCAGACTGAATGACTGTGCAGACAGTACTCCACCAGCTATAACCATTGAGAGAAGGAAGTGTGAGAGAGGTAATGCAGGCAGGGAAAGAGCGGCAGAAGGAGCAATGGAGCATGCAGAATCACCGGAAATCCGGACGCGGGAAATGGGACCATCGCCGCCCTCGCTGCGGGCTCGGACCTCCACCACGAAGTCGCCCTCCGACGGAACCGGGAAGTCCATGTAGTGCTTCCCCGTCGTGTACAGAATCCCAGTCAGGTGACCCGGCTTCTTGAACAGCACCTATGCCACAGAAAGGAGAACTTCAGGGTTCTTACTGTGCATACATACACACACACACACACATACATACAGACACACACACATACATACACACACACATACAGACACACACACACACACACATACAGACACACACATACACACACACACACACATACAGACACACACACACACACATACAGACACACCCTTTAAAAAGGGCCGGCGTCTTAGGGCACGTGACAGAGCCTGCAGCTCACCTACCTTGTAACCCTCTATGTACGACTCGTTGTCTAAGGGATAAACATGATCCCAGGCCACATTTATGTAGGTACCCAGTAAGTTATACGTCCTGTAGATTCTTGCAGGTCGGGCTGGAGCTGTAAGGAAGATGGAGGAGGGGGTTAGTTAGTGCCTGGAACCCGGGATGCCACACAGACTGTAACTAGTTCTGTCTTCCAAGCTTTACCACCATAATAGATGCAAATAGCTATAATAGAGACGTAGTACAGGTGCATTTGCACGATTGTAGAAACAGCAGAGCAAAGGCCTCATGAAGAAGCATCTCCCATGGAGAGCGGCTCAGGGTGCCGGGGGGCTCACGTGCTTTCTTGGTGTACATCTCGTAGTGCTCGCTCGGGGGGCCGAAGCCAGCAGAATTGTAGGCACGCACTTCCACCAGGTAGTGAGAGTCTGGCAGCATGTTCTCCAGCAGCGTCTGGTTGATGTAGTTGGGCAGCAGCATGCGCTGAGCCGCCGCCTCGTTGTCGTCGTACTTCCTCCAATACTTCACCTGGGGGGGGGGGGGGGGGTAGGTTACCAAACGACTGATCAGCAGTGCAGAAGGGTCACTCTAGATGAAAGCACCTTAATGCACAGTGAGTGTCCATCCATTTTTAATAACCGAATATCCCCTAAGACTCAAACTGCATCAGCAAAAGGCAGGATGCATTTGCAGACAGTCACTGGGGCGGGGGTATCTGGCCCTGCGGGTTAGCGATCTTTGCCTGTGCAAAATCTGTAAAAAATAATCATTTCACTGTCGGGTTCCTGAGCAAAGTCATTAACCCCACAACTGTTGTGATGGACTGATAAAATGGCTGAGCCTGTGACGCAGCCCCAAGATGGGACACACAACTGCAAAGAATACCAACTCTGCTGTGCAAAAGGTGAAGGCTATTTATCTGGGCGGTAAGTGTACATATGCTTAGAAAAAAAAACACGATTTAACATTAACAACATATGCAATTGACTGGTGTGTGAGTGAATGGTGTGTGAGTTACCGGTGTGTGAATGACTGGTGTGT